AGTCATTCTAATTTTCTGTGAGTGAACTAGTCAACTGTGGAGGTCATCTTGTGAAACTGCGAGCAATTCTAATATCTCAAATATGAATATTTGGATTTGAGGAAACACAATGGTCATTTCTTAAAACCGTTACCTTGCATTTTGTGTATTAAATGGTGATCAGTGAAGGAAAATAACCTGTTAAACATCAGGTTAATCAGTAATTAATGAGCACAACACTCACAGACCACTCTTGGGGTCTTTGGTCATGCATGTATCAGGTAGGGGTACCTGCTCGTGTTGATGAAGATGGAAGTCTTTTTCATCTTGGAGAAGAGGTTCTTATTGCAGATCTCCTTTGTCTCTGGTGTTAGAGCACAGCACACAGCCAGGAAATCTGACTGCTTTGCCAGCTCATCAAAAGAGACTAGAACAAGATACAGTGCAAGGTTATTAAAAATAAACTGACAACTAAAATAAAACAAACCTTTTTAGCTGGTAGGAATCAGATGAAAACTAAACTAGATGCACTAATATCACTTTTATCATATTAGGTTTGTGGATGGTTCTTAGGACTTCAAGAAAGATTTATGAAAAGTCAAAAGGTTTTAAGTAGCCTTATCTTTTGACTAGCCCCTTAAACCTGCCTCTCATCTGCCCTGTTGACAGGGGATCTTTTGTCCACATATCATAGAGTAACGTCCTTGCTGGGTCTTCCTTACCATATTCTGCATTGATGGCACTTGCCAACTCAGGCCTGGGGGCCACATCTGTGTAGATAAACTTCTTTACTTTGAAAGGTGCCAGACGCTCAGCAATGGCCACACCTTTGAGTACAATCACACACTGTAAAGAGCTCATAACTGACAGAAATGGCAGTTTGACGATACGCTGATGTAAAGGTTGTCTTAGTGACGTGCTGCTTACCGATCCTGCCTAGTCCGAGAATACCGACAGTGCTGTTGGCCAGCTCATAACCACACAGCCACAGCGTTCTCCACGTGCCCCAGCCGCCACTGGCATCAGTGAGAGAAAGAGAGAATTTATTTTTGCACAGTTTGCATTTGTGCATGTATGTTTTAGTAAATTTTCCACATATGTGTGATCTTATTTTGTATATGACAGTACGTCTTGGCCTCATGTGTGGCCTCTATGAGCCTCCTGGAGGTCGCAAGCAGCAGAGCTACTGTCAACTCAGCAACAGCATCTGTCAGGACTTCAGGGGTATAACCTATACGGATTCCTCTGTAGGGGAACAGAAACATTGCATACAACGTTACATGAATATTTCACTGCCTGTTTGCATGTTAAGAACCTTTTTTCTTAAAGGGAAGATCACTCTCAGTAGAGCCATGAACGGCATTCACATGTGTTACAATAAAATAAAACAGAAAGAGGGAACTCACCGTTTCTTCAGCTCATCCAAAGACAGATGATCGAATCCCACTGACATTGTACTGAGGACCTTCAGGTTTGGACCTGCAGGAATACATCACACATATAAAGACATGCAAGGCTGTTTGTTGCATTGAGGTTATTTGTCAAAGGCAAATGGCAGACCTGCAGCGTCCAACAGTTCCGCATCAATTGTTTCTGTCAGCGTGCAAAGCAGACCATCTACACCTTTGACCTTCTGAAGGAGCTCCTTCCTGGGCACCGGTATGTCATCTGAGTCCCACAGCTCAAACTGCACCCTAGGGAAACAGAAATCACATGACTGAAGATTTAAATCAAATCCAGTTCTGAAAAAAACAAAAAAATCCCAAATACATGAGCACAGGTTTCACATTTATATACAGACAATGGTTCTTCTTAGAGATACATAATCTCAAAGTGCTTTTCATAGAAATCCTGGAATTTTAAGGTGCAGTGAAACATTTGTGCAGTTCTCTTTCTCCGGGAATACCCTTTAGACTATGTGCTTTATTTGACGAGACCTTAAGGCAAACATTAGCAGTCATGTTTGTTCAAAGTAAATGATGAACCTCTCAGACCAGACATTCAAACTGCTTAAAGTGATCACTGTCAAATCTCCTGCGGCACACGCGTAGTTACATAAAAACACTAAAATATGTTATTTTAAGTGACATAACAGGTTACTAAAAAAAATACTCACTGTCCGGATTTGCGGAGGATCTTCAGGCCCTCAGGTGGGATCTGTCGTGTGACGTAGACACGTGGCAGGGTTGACATCTCCCTCTGGATGTTGCTTGTTAGACCCCCGGTAATGTTCAAAGGAGTAACGGCGATCTTCTGGAGCCGACGGAGTGCCATGCGACTGCACCACATTGCAGCGTAAGTGCGTGGGCAGAGTGTCCACAGTGTAGGATGAGTAGACTCTGGAGACTGTTGTGGGATTTGTGTGTGATTCTGGCTGCAGGTCAAGGGGGAGGCTCCTTTGTGAACTAACCAATATGATAAAAGGGTGGAAGTCTGAAGGTTTGAAAGGGGAAAAGTCTGAAGGTCTGAAAGTTAGAGATACTTATCCCTAGTTTCACACACACCCCCACCCCCCCAAAAAAAGAAGCAAAAATCGGTCCAATTTTGTCTCTGATTATGGAACTAGAGGCTCTTTATATTCAAAACAAAGAGACACAAGCATAACTGCCTGCTGTGACAAAGACAGTACCAGAATTGTGTTTTCCATCGAGTTGTGGTGTAAATGTTTCACTTAGCTGGTGAACTTTGTTTCATTAAATGGGGGGGGGGGACCTGAACATTGTCTTTTATCTTCTGCTTTCACTGGTTGCAACCAGTTTTGATATCTGGCTTTTTCCAACACGAGTCTGCCTGCATTGTCATGAAAATAGAAAAGTTGTTGCTTGGTTGATTGCTTATTTTTTCTCAAACTGAAAAATAAAATACCCTTAACCCGTAATGGCTGGAGGAGGTATTGTCACACCTCAAATCCAAAGCGATAAAGCAGACTCATCATCGACAAGGTTGATTTAAGATAAGGCAATCTTTTCTGACATGTTTCTGCTGTTTCTGTCCTGCTTTCAGTTGGATGGACCTTAAAATCATTATTGTGTTACAGGTATTACTTTTGTGCTATTTTTTTCTTTTATGAATAGAATGCATTGTTGTCACCATATTCACATATACAATATACATCTATACGGTAAAAAAGTCTTAAGACACGCTTAATCACTTTATATTTTTGTAGGAAAACGTGAAATAGACTCAGCAACTTATTGAAACATGTGCAAACACACATAGAAATACAGTATATAAGGGGAAAAATAGAGTTTGTACAATTCTAATGAGCTCGGAAGTCAGTCCTTAGTATTATTGGTAGAACAGTGTGTTATTTATTATTTAACACAGCCTGGACACTCTTAACCTTTCTTTCTTTAATTGTGTAGTCTTCAGGAATAGTTCTCCAGGCTTCTTGTAGGACATTTAAAGCTCTTCTTTGAATGTTGACTTCCTTTTCTTCCCTTCTCTGTCAACATGATCCCACACTGCTTCGGTAATGTTGTGGTCCGGACTTTGAGGAGGCCAGTCCATGACCGATAGTGTGTGTTTTTCTAACCAGGTATGCTTTTACTGCATTAGCCATTGCCAATCATGAGCTTTTCTGATGGTAGTTGTTCAAAATGTGTGTTGATAATTCAATTTGTTTTGACAAAATCCCCAACACAACTGTCTGATATGCAGATTGAAACCATGACAGAGCCTCCACTGTGTTTTACAGACCATCACTTATAATTTGTAAACACTGACTTAGACACTAACTGTTCTACCTCTCTTCCGACCTCCTCTGCACATACTTATGAGCTTTCTCCCTGCTTCCCCTTCTTAAGACTGGCTTCTTAACAACCACTGAAACAGTGAACAGTAGATGGATTAAATCAAGAGTCAGAAGCATCTCTCAGGACCTGTGTCAGATATTTGTTGGATGCTTTACCTGTTTTATTTGAATTTTTTTTTGTTAATTTAATTTACTTATTTTGTTTTTCCCCACTTCTCGGTTTCTTCAATATTATTAAAGACACACTGCACAACATGTTCAGATATGCCAAGTTTTCAGCAAATAAATCCTGTGTTTTTGTGGGGGAGAAGGGGGAGTTCTGCTTGTAACAAAGTGTCTAAAGATTCTATCTAAAACTGGTATTTTTCTAAGTTGTCTGTTACGTTTAGATTCTTGAATTTGGTGCCTTTTTAACTATTGAATGAGTCATAGATCAGTGTTAGGTTTTTTTAAAAAGCAAGCAAAAAGAAATGGGTGGTAACTCAAGATTACACCTTTGAAAACAAAATGGTGAAATTTTATTCTTTAGAAAAATGTCACCCGAAATCTAGTAAATCATCATAAATGTGTGTTATTTTATTAACAACACAAAATAAGTAACGTTTATTCACAAATATAGTCCTAGAAGTTTCCGTGAAATGATTGGTTGACGTTGGCCACGTGAGTGCGTTAACCCGGAAACACTCCAAGTTTTTTAACCAGTCACAGCCATTCATTCGCTGCAGCTCGCTGGGCTTACTGACAGGTACCTGCGTGTGATATTCTGACTAATTTTAAGTACATTTATAGCAGTGTTTACATATTGCTTGATAGAAACAACTGTTCCTTAAACATTTGTCTACTCCCTGGAGTTATTTGTAGCCTCGTGTTTCTGTCACCACTTTTAATGAGTTTATGAGAAGTGTCTCCGCAACCGGCACCGGGCAGCAGCATTAGCTAGATGTAGCCGCTAGCGTTGAGCTTCAGCAACTTCATAAGTCATCTAGCTTTACTAAGGCACATGTATTAACCCCTTTAATGTCGGGCTTTTTTTAAGCCGCTTGGTTATTTCAGTTCAGTTCAGGTCAGCTCAGCTCGGTGGGGTCAACCACGTTGCTGACAGCTAACTGGCATCAACAGTTAGTTAGCTGTGCGGCTCATTAACAGCAGGGCGTTGGTTTTAAATCTATATCGCTCAATCAGACAAGGTTAATTACTTTATTTATATTTTTAACAGGAAGCATCTCTATCTGTGAGGCACTTGCTCTCCCCCCCTTCCCCTCCCGCCATGGCTACAGACTCGATGGAGATTGACGACTCTCTTTACAGGCAAGCCTCACCATCCTTATAATTTGCCTTTTTAATGGTTTATATTACAGCCAGCGCAGTTATTGTTCATGGTGTTTCCATTCGTCCTTCTAGCACATTCCTTCACAGTGACTCTTCATCTCTCTCTCACTCTTTAGCCGCCAGCGATATGTGCTTGGAGACAGTGCCATGCACCAGATGGCCCAGTCCTCAGTCTTTCTCAGTGGAATGGGAGGACTGGGAGTAGAGATAGGTAGGCAGGCAATATTTAATGGTTTGGTGTTTGTATGAGCGACGCAAGGAACTCTAACATGACTCTAAATCTTTTGGGTTTGGTTTCGCAGCAAAAAATATTGTCCTGGCTGGTGTAAAGGTAGGCGCGCTCTCTTAATATTGCAGCAATGTGTCATTCTCAGCATCTTGCAAGTCCAAAGGTCTTGTAGTCATAATTGTTCGAACCTATTGTCCTGTTTGTCCTTTGTGTGTACAGGCAGTCACGCTTCATGACACAAAACAGTGTGAGACCTGGGATCTTGGCTCCAACTTCTTTATCCGCAAAGAGGATGTTTTGAGCCAGAGGAGGAGGTAATGAACCCCACGGGCGGGACTCTCCTTACGCTCTTAAATAGGCATGCACCAGTGTAGCTTATTCATTCCTCATGAAGATGCCTTAAAGGAGCGGGCTGATAATATTGCTGAATAAATACATTGCAAACCATTCTCTTTTTATGTGAAACAGTTATTATTAAAATGACAAAATAACAAGATCAAAACCTAATTAATTTGAACTTGTTTCCTTTCATCTTGGTCTGTGCTTAAATTGAATTGATACATTTAAGCTATTGCTGCTCCCCTTTGTTACTGTGTATGTCTGTTTAACCATACCCTCCTTGCTTGCACAAGATAATTAAGGACTGCACTAATCAAGTTGTGCAGTTGTAAAGTTTACACAACAATACAGAAATAGTGCCACTGACAGGGACAGCACCATTGTCTGCTGTTGTCATCAGCTCAGCTGACCACTGTTTGGTTTCTGTTAAATCACAATTAGGTCACAAACAGTGAAAGCCACCAAAGTGACGATCCTTTCTTGTTAGTTTCATGTTGTGCTAATGTGCCAAATAAAGAATAACATTTTAGTTCAGTTTAACTGAATATAATTGTGATTGACCAGTGCGTACCTGATACAGCTCTGAGTAGGTATCAGAGTGATATGTGGTATAAACATTAAGACTGGTGCATCCTTACTCAGATACTTTCTCATGTTTACCCACTCCCTTGTGTTTCTCCCACAGGGTGGAGGCAGTGTGCCCTCACGTTGCAGAGTTGAACCCTTATGTCCACGTTGACATGTCTTCCTCTGCTCTTGACGACAACACTGATCTCAGTTTTCTCAGAAGGTACCAGGTAAGTCATTACCTTTCAGACTCCGGGTTGTAAGCTAACCCATGGTTAGTAGGACAGACATTTTTTTTAATAGGTTGCTCCCACGCCCTCAGAAACCCCCTAGTGATTTAAAAATATGAGGTGTAGGGAAGTATGAAGACACCCGCCCCTTCCCTGAAGACCAATGTGGCTTAACAAGAGTTTCCAATAGAAAGATTTCATCATAGAGAAACATTTCTGAATGTCAATAAAAACTCATGAAGCTACCCCAGCAGTGTGATTCACTTCACAGCTGCCTCTTACAGATGTTCTAGTTATGTTTCTCCCCTGGTCTGAAGGAATGTTGAACCTAAAGGTCGGCATTTCATAACAGCACAGCAAGTCGTGAAGGGTTGATCTCGTTTTTATATCGATCATGTATTTGGCCACCAACTGGCATTCAATTTAAAATAAAATTGTACGTAACTGCTTTTCTTCTCTACCGCATAGTCTGCTATGGACTCCAGGTAATGTTTAGTGTCTGCTCTGCTTCCTCCTCTAGTGTGTGATTTTGACTGAGGCCAGATTGAGCCTACAGAAGAGAGTAAATGAGTTCTGCCACTCACAACAACCCCCTATCAGAGTAAGTCTGCTCTCCTTGTTGTGCTTAGGCATTACAGTTGCACTGCGAGAGCTCACAGATGGGTAAATATTAACCAAACCTGTTGCGTGTGTATTGCTTCAGTTCATCAGCTGTGACGTGTACGGTATCTGTGCACGAGTGTTTTGTGATTTTGGAGAAGAGTTTGAGGTGTTCGACCCCACAGGAGAGGAGCCCAAGGAGGTTTTCATTCAAAGTATCACTCAGGTGACCCCGACCACACCCCACAAAAAATAAAAAATTACAAATAAATAAATTGTTCCAGCTTTTCTTCAAAAAATTCAACACATACAATTTGCAGTAAAGTTTGCCTGTTAATCTTCTGTCTGCTTAATCAGTAAATGAGCGAACTTTGGGTGAACTTTTCTGCAAACTGTTTTAGGATAATCCTGGGGTGGTAACCTGCATGGACAACCAACCCCACGGCCTACAGACAGGGCAGAGTGTTGTTTTCAGAGAGGTCGGCGGCATGGTGGAGCTCAACGGCACGTCTCGGCAGGTTTCAGGTACTATGGTTACAATTTTATTACTGTAATGCGTAACAGCGGCGTCTCCAAGATTATTGTTATTATTTGTACAAACTCAAACTGGTGTTTTTATTTATTTTGCTGGACGCAAATGCAAAAATGTATCTGGCAATGTCATGTTTGGTGACTTGTTTTCTATATGTATGTTCATATAAATTTATATAATGTGTGTGTGTCTGTGTGTGTGTTTGTGTGTGGTTATAGTCCTTTCTTCTCACAGCTTTGCAGTAGGAGACACATCTCAGCTACAACTATACACACATGGAGGTTTCTTTGTCATGGTGAAAACCCCTAAAATGTACAGATTCGTAAGTAGACTAGTTTTCATATTTAACAGTGTCGTCCAGTTATGATTTAAAAACATGCAGATATGTTTAAATGACCATCACTTGTGTGTATGCTAACAATAACTCACAATATTTATTTCAGGAAACATTAGAGCGACAGCTGTGTGAACCTCGGGTCCTGACTCCGGACTTCAGTAAACCAGAGGTAAGAGGAAACTAGGTAGAAGCTTATATTCTACAGAGAGGGGAATAGTGTGACATTTAAACATCGTTTTATTGCAGCTTCGTGACTTACATGGCTAAGAATAGTGTGAGTTAGAAACTGATCAAAACTTTCCCATGGCTCTCTTGCTACACAGTTGGTTCTCCTGACAGTATCCCACATGCTTAAACATACTGCCTTCACGTTTAAACAATAGAAACATGTACAGAGCAGAGATACCCTTTCTGTCATATTGATGTTTAACTAGGTTTACAAAACAGGTTAAACTAATGTAGACCCAGTGTTTCTTAGCCAAGTTCACAAATGCCTGTTTTTCTTTGAGTTTAAGAAGCCGATTTCTTCACAGTCCTGTTTTAAATCTGCTTCTCAGGCCCCACTTCAAATCCATGCTGGCATGTTGGCACTGGACACCTTCCAGGAGCAGCACAGTAGACTTCCTAACACTGGGTAAGTAAAATTTCCATATCAGATCAGTACTTTTTACTCTCCAGTCTAATGTTCTGCTCTGCTTTCTCTGTGCGATATGATTGCTAAGCACTAAAGAGCGCCTTTTCTTTGATGTCATCAGGTGTTTACAGGATGCTGAGGTTTTACTAAAGCTGACTGAGGAAGTGAATGCAGCTCTCAAGAGCAAAGTGAGCTTTACTGTTTTCCTCATTTCATCACTGCAAAGGCAGGTACTCATTGTCTGACAGATGACTGCATGCACACTGGTGTGATAACATTATACTGTCTTTTCCTCTCCTCTGTGACTCCTTCCTCCCAGGCTTCTGTGAATACTGAGCTAGTACGCTGCCTTTCAAGGACAGCAAGGGGTACTCTCCCTCCATTAGCAGCAGCTGTTGGAGGTTTAGCCAGTCAGGAAGTTCTTAAGGCCATCACAGGGAAGTTTGCACCCCTGCAGCAATGGGTAGGTCACTAAATTTGAAGCTGTGGTTTTATAGCTCACTGTAAGCTGTTTTCCAACCCTGAAAGAAAATGTTTTATTATCCAGTTTTGTTTTCTTTTGTTTTATCACATTTTTAGTTTTATCTTGACGCTATTGAGGTAGTCAAGCCACTTCAGCCTCTTTCTGCTGAGGAGTTTTCCCCTAGGGGTGATCGATATGATGGATTACGAGCTTGCATTGGTGACTCACTGTGTTTACAACTACACAAGCTAAGGGTCTTTATGGTAAGATTTCGAAGTTCTCAATGTGTTTAAGGTTTTTATTGAATTATTCTAGTTTACCCCAAAGTAAATTATTTTATAGGTTGGCTGTGGAGCAATAGGCTGTGAGATGCTGAAAAACTTTGCCCTGCTTGGAATTGGATTGGCCAAGAGCTCAGGGGAGGTGGGTATTTATTCTTTATGCATTTATCTAAGTTTTACCTTACTGTGAAAAGTTTACTGGAATTTCATTTGCATATTTAACTTCTCAGGTGTGCATCACAGACCCAGACCTCATAGAAAAGTCTAACCTCAACAGGCAGTTTCTCTTCAGGCCACGTCATATACAGGTGAATAGACGTGCATTTCTGCACTGGTCAGGCTCGGCGCATTGCTGCATTTAAGCCATCTGTTTCCTCTCTGCTTTAGAAACCCAAAAGTACCACAGCAGCAGAGGCTACTCGTGATATAAACCCAGACCTACAGGTGGAAGCTCACCTCAACAAGGTGTGTCCGGCTACTGAGAACATCTACAATGACTCATTCTACTCTTCATTAAACATAGTGGTCACTGCGCTGGACAACGTAGAGGCACGGAGATATGTGGACAGGTTGGTGAAGACATTGTAACGATCACAGCTTCACTTCATTCACTTCAGCATTCGATGTTCAATGAACCAAAGTGAAGCAGAATCCATGTGAGATTATTGTGACCCCTGACCTCATGATTACCATTGTTATGACATGAATCTAGAAGTTGCAGTTTAATAAAGTATTTGTTGTCATTTAAAAAGAGTTTTTCTTTTTTGTAATTTATATATTTTCAGCCGCTGTGTATCCAATCAGAGGCCTCTCCTAGACTCTGGCACCATGGGAACTAAAGGGCACACCGAAATCATTGTGCCAAACTTGACAGAGTCTTACAATAGCCATGTGAGTCTGTGGAAGAGGCTCAAGTTATTGGTTTTCTGTGCTGGACATGTGCAGTCCCATCACCAACCTAAAATCGCTTTTCTTTTGCCTCCCAGAGGGACCCCCCAGAAGAGGAGATCCCATTCTGCACTCTCAAGTCTTTCCCTTCTGTTATAGAGCACACCATCCAGTGGGCCAGAGATAAGGTCAGGCAGCTGAAAGACCCAACAGTATTCTTTTTCCACACTGCAAATTATTGTTTTGAAAGTCTGAGTGTACTTCCAAATTTTTATTTTATTTTTAAAATGTTTGTCTTTCTAGTTTGAGAGTGCCTTTGTCCACAAGCCCTCCATGTACAACTCGTTCTGGCAGACCCATTCCTCGGCTGAGGTGGTGCTGCAGGTAAGGCACAAGTGCAGTTTTCACTGACGAAAATTACCCCAGCAGTGCAGCTGTTTAATCAATAAAAACAACTTTGATTGTGTGTGTTTGTCTGTGTAGAGGATGCAGGCAGGGGAAAGTCTGGAAGGGTCATTCCAGGTCATAAAGCTGCTGAGCAGACAGCCCACTCAGTGGGAACAATGCGTCGCTGTTGCTCGTCTGAAATTTGAGAAATATTTCAAGAGAAAGGTAATGAAAATACACATTCCTATCAAAGGGGCTGTGTGGTTTACGATTATGTTTTGTTTTTGTTTTCAGTTTTTTCACTTTACTGCTGTTTTCATGTAGGCCCTACAGCTGCTGCACTCCTTCCCCCTGGACACAAGGTTAAAAGATGGAAGTAAGTGTTAAATAATCAGATGGAAACCAGAATCAAGTTATCAAGCAAATTAACGGGTATAGCTAATTTATAAATGGCATGTAAAATTAAAGTATTTAGTGAAAAATCTCCCAATTCCTCAGGTTTGTTTTGGCAGTCTCCAAAAAGACCACCAACACCTCTTGAATTTGACTTGAAAGACTCTTTGTGAGTATGCACTTCTGCTAACCGATAAGCCAAATATACTCAGATATTGGCTTTTAAACTCTCCTCTGTTCCCATCAGGCACTTTGCTTTCATTGTGAGCACTGCCCGGCTCTTCGCAGGGATTTATAACATCCCTTATTCTGAAAGGGTAGGTGGCAAGCATTTAAATCTAATCTCTCTAAAAAACCACACACAGGTAATGACTTACTGACTGTGTGATTGTGTTTTTCAGGATCTTTCTGAAGAGGCTATTACCAGGACTCTTGCAGATGTCAAGATTCCAGAGTACAGGCCCTCAGAAAAAGTAAGCCGTTCTGTTGATCTGAACTTTACACTTTCAAACAAGTGCCCCCCCCCCAAAAAAACCCCAAAACAAAACCAAAAAACAAACCACCCTAATCTTTTTGATGTGACTCTGTCCCTGCCAGTGCATAGAAACAGATGAGACGGCAAAGAAGCCTGATCAGATAAAGATGCCTCTAAGCAGTGAAGAGGAAAGGGACGCCATCGCTCATTTGGAGCAGGCTATTGCTACTGACAGGGTCACACCAGGTATGCAAATACTCAACATATCCTTTTTCTTTTCTTTTTTTTTTTTTTAACATCTGAAAGAGACACAAGCTGACTGACAAATTGAATACGTGAAAGCTGGAGTGCTACATTTGTGATTAACGATTGGAGTGTGTGTCCTGTAAATTGTGCAGAACGGTTACGGATGAGTCCACTTCAGTTTGAAAAGGATGATGACAGCAACGGTCACATGGACTTTGTCGCATCAGCATCCTCTCTTAGAGCCATCATGTACTCCATTGAGCCAGCTGACAGACTTAAGACCAAACGCATTGCTGGGAAGATAATCCCCGCCATTGCCACGGCAACAGCTGCAGTGGCTGGTTTGGTGAGCACAGACCTTGAGATATTCATGTGGTTTTTAAGGATTGCATCCAGCAGATAGTGCTCATCATCCATTAGGTTATATTTTGATTGAAGAATAAGGTGTACAGATATGTTTTTAAAATGTTGATTTAATGGTATGGTAACCTTGTGTATTAATGTGATGCACTCAGGTGGCGCTGGAGTTGATCAAGGTGGTTGGAGGCTTCGGGTTTGAATCACACAAAAACTGCTTCTTTAACTTGGCCATTCCTGTAGTCGTTCTTACTGAGCCTGCTGCAGTCAAACAGACACTCATAAGGTATACTCATCATATTCACGCTTTATCACACCTCCACAGAATAATGGGACTTTCTACAAATTACAATTTCATCCAGGCATTGTGATGCAGCACAAGAGGTCGCCACAGTGCGTTGCTCTACACGTTTCATGTCACTTTTTTTTTTTTTTTTAAATTTTAATATGCCGGATGCGCTTCCCGAAACTCCTCCTAAGGGATTTGTGTCTCCTGAGTCGATGATGAGCTCAGTTGTGGCTCCATGGTTTAGTTGTTAACATGTTCGCCTCACACGTGAAAGATCCCAGTGGGAAACGCAAATCCAGCCTCACGGAGTCATGAGACAGTGCGGTGCTAATGCCTGGAAGAAGGGTTCGGAGAGTTGCATCCAGAGTAAATGTCTGTGCCAAATATGCAGATCCATCCACAGCAGTGACCTCTTGTGAAATAAGGGGATCTCAGATTTTTAACTGATGCTATGAAGCTCCGACTTCCAGTGGACTGTTCTGTAAGAAGATGTTGCTGTTTTTGGATTCTGTGTACTGAAACTTTCAAGTCCCGCACTCTTAGTGACCACTTACTGTTGCACTATCACAGCATCCATGGGGAAATTACATTTACCATGTTATTATTATAATGTCATGTAGTAACAGCTCCATTGCATCTCTTCCAGGAACAACATCTACTACACCATCTGGGACTGCTGGACTGTCTTTGGCCACGAGGACTTCACTCTCTCTGACTTCATGAATGCTGTCAGGGTATGAAGCATTTACTCCCATTATCCAGTGATTTGCAGCTGTTAGATTATTGTATTCTTCCTCAGATTCTTGTTATTGCAGAGAATATTTTCTTTGTTAATGAGCTGTTTTGTTATTTACAGGAAAAGTATGGAATTGAACCCACTATGGTCGTCCACGGTGTAAAAATGCTCTATGTGCCTGTGATGCCTGGACACTCCAAGAGGCTCAAATTGACGTATGTGTTTTCCTCCAAACTTTTCCTTATTTTTTTCTTTCTTTTTATAATAATAGTGTTTTTGAAGGGAGTAGTCAATGAATGTGTTGCTTAAGGGCACATCAGAATTGGGAGGGTGGATACTCTTAAACAAGAGATTAAAGCAGAGACACTCACACTTCCCTCACACTGCCTACATAGTGTTTTCCTGGTCTAAACTTAAGCATAACTTCCAAGTGTGTGCCTGTACATGTGCTCATTACAAAGTTGTTTTTTTGTTTTGTTTTTTCAATTTGCTGAAATGTTCACAATGCATTTATTCGTCTATCTTTGCCTCTGATTTTTCACAGGATGCATAAACTAATCAAGCCATCAGTGGACCGCCGCTACGTAGACCTTACTGTGTCATTTGCTCCAGAGGCAGATGGAGATGAGGACCTCCCTGGTCCTCCGGTCAGGTACTACTTCAGCCCCGATGGCGAGACTCCCTGACACCTCCCTCAATGTCATCCTCAAGCCTCTTGTGTCCTTATTTCCCTTCTTTTATGTAAATTGTTACACCCCAATTGCTTAGGCATGGGCCAAGAGTTTTCCCTCAGGATGTTACCTGACAAAGTCAAAACTCCTTGCCTTAGCACAAACCCCTCTTGTACTTCATGGAGCAAGAAAAGCCAGTCGTGGTCCCAGTTCTGTTTTTTTTTTTTTTGTTGTTTTTTCCCCCGTTGCCTAAGATCTAGCCAGTGGAACACAAGGAGTAGCACTTATAATTATACCTGTGTACATATACTTTCTTTTTTCTTTTTCTTTTTTTTTACTCTGGTGAAATGCACAGCTCTGGTTGTGTCGATGCCTTAATTGATTATTAACCTTTTTTTCTGTTTGTGGCAGCGAGTCTGACTAAAATCTGTGTTTACAGGAATCTTTAAACTCCCAACACACAGACCCATTTAGTTGTTGTGTTCAACTTTTTTTTTTTTTTGTGAGTTAAACATTTGGCACAATAAAAACAAGTAGTTGGTAGGCCTCACAACATCTTCATCCTCTGAGTTCTTTGAGAATATTGCCAACCACAAATTTGCCAATTATTTTCTGTCTCCCTCTATAGAAATAAAATTTAAAAAATCAAGATTTGTTGTATAATTTTAAGGTGCGACAAGTTAAGTGGACAATGGCAAAACCACCAAAGATAGCAATTATCATTTTGTCTGCAGATTGTTTTTTTTTTTTTCCCCCCCCCCATCACTTTGACTGCCTCATTATAAAACATGTTTCAAACACGGGGCATGGATATCACCCAGCATTTGAGAGCAACACACAAGCTGTGTTTTACTTAAAGGTTAAGCTGAAGTTGTTCTGCAGTCAGTCGGGTGTAAAATGACACAGTCAGTGTGCGGTGCACTTAAAAACAAAAAATGGGTTAAAAAAAAAAGTTAATTGTAGCTGTTAGTCTTACCTACCTTAATAAATACTTGGGTAATGACTGCACTGACATTAGTTTGAGCAAACAAGATGTTCTTCATTAACAATACAAAAACTGACGTGAGTTTACTGTTTCACACATAGAAAAGCCTTATTTTGACAGACATCAAACATCTGGGGTCACACTCCTGTGTTATAACACATTTGTTTTAAAAGAAAATCTTTGCTGTTCATGATTTGTTGTATTTGTTCATGAATGTCTGTGACATGTATTTATTTACTTGTTATGCTTTTTTTTTTTTGTTTTTGTTTTTTGGGTCAGACTGAGCCTGTATTGATGAGCTCTGAGTAATGGTGCACTGGTTAAATAATCAATAATGAATAGTAGTCATCCAGAAAGTCTTTCTCCAGGTTTATAATTCTCCCTTTCATTAAGTTCCAGGTTAAAAAGAAGGCTTTCGATGAGTCTGTAGTGCCTACAGTGGCAATAACGTCAGTGTAGTTTTGAATGGAATCAGTTAAATTGAACTTTGTCTTGAAGATTAAGTTGCATCTTATCATCTGTCTTGGACCTTCTGGCTGAACACCACAACGAGATGCTTCCTCAGTGTTCCTTTGTTTCTCTGCTCAAAACCAGAGGTGGTGAAATTTCCTTTCTACAGCAGATGTCTACCCATATTGACAACACTTCTTGTGCAGTGAATTCATCATTTTAAAACAAAGCAGTGTTAATTACAGATACTGATGTATGTTCTTGTGACAGACGAGCTCAACCAGTGGTCCAATAAAATGTGAGATTTCAGGATGTCTTCAAAATTGAAGCTGCTGACTCGTTCTTCGAAGTCAAACTTTACAACAAATACAGACACTATGATTTGAATTTATTACGTCAGATATTTATAGAGAGAAAATATTACATGTAACTGAGGTTTGTGGGTTTTTTTTTTTTAAACTAAAAATATAATTGATACAGTACCTTGGGAAATTAAATTATAAATACATTCAGATCTCATAGTGGGACTGCTACATTTCATCATTGCCACTGTAGTGATTAAAAACATAACACAGTATCTACATATTAATAACTGAGGAAAAGTGCATTGTGTCTGGGGTAAATATCAAACGGTAACATTTCATATATCGAGATCCTGCAGGTTCCCCCAGCTGGGTCCCACTTTGACTTTGGCCTTCAACTTCACATAGAGTTTCACTGCTGACTCCATCTCTCTCTTGACTATCTGTGCAACCTGACAGAAGCAGAGGTTCGTGTGAGAGACACTTCATACAGCTGTGTGCAACCCAAACGGTAATTCCTTTATGTACCTGTATGAGGTCTTCTTCTGTGGCTTCGTAGATGAGTTCATCATGCAGCTGCAGGATGAAGTAAGCTCCTCTGAGTTGAGATCTTCCAGCTCTGCGATGATTACGGACTGATGAGATTACAGATGTGATTAATTTACAGACTTAAACATGATGCAGGGGTTATCGCTCCCTGCATGTTGCATTAATGCAAAAAAACCCCAAAAAGATAATTTGTGTTCAGGTCACCTGAATTTGTGTGCTGGTGAGACGGAGGAGCTGCAGGATATGTATTTCGTAGCCGTTTCTGGATGTTGACAGTGGCAAGTTTAACAATATCAGCTGCAGAGCCCTGCACGGTTGTGTTCACTGCCTGCCGCTCTGCCTAAAAAAAGTTGTGTTTTAAGGAAAAGGTGAAAAAGCGGAAGAAGCACTGCATGAGTTTTAAATGACATGCTTCACATCTAAATTCTGTCAAAGAACTCGTGCTCACGTGAGCTTTGATGTGTCCATTGTTGCTGGTTATTCCAGGTAGATATCTTCTGCGACCCATCAGCGTCTGGACATAGCCGTCCTTTATACAGTTCCTCACAGTCTGTTTAAGAAAAGCATTGATCCCTGAAATGTCAGAAAGAAAATGTTTTAAAATGAGAATGTAGAAGTAAGTTTAACCAGTTTAAAGCAAACCTGTCGGTGGTTCAAGCCCCCTCTACAATTGACCACGGTCTGCTATACTGGATTATCAATCCAACTCTTGGTCTTGTTATGCTCCTCAGCTTGTTTTAGTACTGATAATAACTGAACGACATTAAGAAGTTTACACTTACGTAAGTCTAATCTTCAAAAAAAACCAACCAAACAAACATTCAAGATCTTGCTGTGTCTCTTTTTTCAAGTACAGGCACATAATTTCCATTTAATGTTTTTAATTTTTTTTCCTGTTATCTCATTGTAGCTATAAACCCATCAATATTCCAACCTGTATACTGCAGCACATCCCGTGAACTGGATTGTCCCATATGCAGAATTTGTGTTTTTTAGTATTGTGTGATGCATAACAGTGCAGAGAATATGCATGCGTCTTTCAGATGGATTCAAATTGGATGAAGAAAAAGTCACATGGGAACTGCTACATTATGCGTGTGTGCAGCAGTCTGCGTGGGTGTAAGAGACACTGTGGCAACAACCGGAAATACACGGCTAATATTAGTGATATTACTAATATTGAGACGTGTAGTGGGGAAGCCCCGGTGTATACCTTTGTATCTGGCTTTGAAACTCTCAATGTAGCATGCTGCATCATTCTCATCCACTCCCATTTGCTCCCCCAAAGACTTTGCTCCCATTCCGTAGATGATGCCATAGCAAATCTGCAAACACAGAAGCATGTACTCCCCTGGTGACCTTGCATGTGTGCATGTCCTTGCCGTCTACCCTTTCCAGCCTAGTTGTACCTGTTTTGCCTGTTGTCTGAGGCTGTCATTCACTGACTCTGGCTCGACACTCTTCCACTCAGCTGCAATGCAGCGAAACACATCTGCTCCACCATTCAGCACCTGGTGAACATGCAAAGTTCACAATTTGAGTTTACATATTGTTTTCTTTCCATTAACCAGATTTAAATTTCACTGACCTGCAGGAGACGCTGATCCTTTGAGAGATGAGCTAGCACTCTCAACTCCAGCTGGGAGTAATCAGCTGCTAATATCATTCCACCTACACAACAGTACAAAGCTTATAGAAGCGCCTGAGGCAAAGCTACAGGAAGGACAGGTAACCACTCATCTATATGAACTATATGTGGATGTACCAGTATTATTATTAGAGAATTATTATATTAACCTGAAAAAGGAATGAAAGCATGTCTCATGCTAACAGAGAAGGCAGGGCCTTGTTCTGAAGTTCCAGCTGCGACTGAAGATACCACAGAGCGTCTCTTCTTTCTGTAACAACAGTGTAAAAAAAATCCTTATAGCAATTCCACCCTGCTACATCACTCCTAGCTATTTAACTTTTAAAGCAGTTAGTTTTGGAAAAACCCCTCACCCACATTAATCCAATGTAAATATGGAAGTCTTGCATTATTTTAGGGATGTAATACTATTACTCTGTTTTTGGCCTATTTCTACTTCTACTTCATAGACAGACCTATGAATATGAACAGAACATTCGGCATAATAAAAGAGATGAGCACAGCGCAAATTAACTTTTCATTTAATTTATTAACTTTTTCCACTGAAAAATACTTTACAGGTTATTATTAAGCAATATGCCACATTTAATGGGAGGCATATAAAACAAACTACATATTTTAACACATATTTTTAACACAGTTACATGTACTGTAAAATAAATTAAAAAACTGCAGTCAGGCCTATAGTAACAGCTGCCAACTTCATTTCTAAAGAAAATCTGAAACGGAATTTATTTAGTGAGAAACGTGTTTCCTCATTTACATATACAGTTGTCTTTTTTCATTTTTTCATTTTATTTTCTTTTTATTGACTGTCTTTGCATCTCATGACCTCTTGTTCGTTTCTTTCGCTTTCCTGTTTGTTTCTTTGTAACATAGAAAATGCTAAATTAAAAAAAAAACATATTTACATAATTAAAACTTGATGAATTCCCCTTTTAAAAACAAAACACTTTGATCAAGTTTAACCTTACCCTGCTTTGGTCATCCTGTAACAGCCATCTTGTGAAGGTGGGCTCTCACCCACCATGGTGGGCATGTGAATCTGAAAGTCTTTGGGGACGTTCTGTATGTTTGGCTCGGTGAAACTCACTCTACCTGAGGACAGAATGAGCCGAGTCACTACAGGCTTCATATTTAACCTAAAGGGAAAATGTATTTGACAGCAGTGAAATCTCAGAAGTCTTCGTGTGCTGGTGTTTGTGTTTTACCTGTGGCTGTGTGTGTTTGAGCGATGGGGTATATCCTGTCCATCTCCAGTGTGGGGTGGTATTGTTTTTCCCTCTGCAGAGGGTAGACCACTTTAGTCAAGGCGTTAGTGATACGTCTCCACTCCAGAATTACACCTGGCAACGTGTGCAGCGGGCGAAGTTTCTCCAGAACATCCTGCTTCGAGAAATAAATGTTAGAGTTACGAAGCCAAAATAATGATTTACAGTTTTATAATATAATAAATATGTTTCTTGACAGCAATTAGGTGCAGGAGCAACATTAATTTGGTGAAATGTGAAATTGCTTCACCTTTGTGGTGCTGAACTGCTTCCCAAGTCGCACTCTGCCACCTGCTCTCCTCGTGTATCCCAGAGTTTTCTTACTTTTTGATCCACCTACGTCACCATTTGGAGGTAGGTGGAGTTCTAAGAACAACACCTGCGTCATACATGTGAGCACACACAAGTTCAGAAGTCTTACTACGCTTTGCGCAAACTAATTGGTAATTTTACTCAAAATCGTAGCTGGGATGGAGAAGAAGTGTCTGACCTGTGCAATGTCATCGACGCAGGTGAGGGAGAAGCTGTGTCCAGCCAGAGCGTAAGCTTCAGATTCCAGCACAGACAGTTTGGCTTGCATGACGTGTTTTTGTCGTTCACACTCTTCAACACTGAAGCCGACTCCGTTCAGTTCCAGCAGGGCCAAACAAACCTGGGAAGGCATCTCTATGCTCCTGAAGAAATCTGACATATATGTACAATATTGTTAAACAAATGTCTAAACGCATATTTCTGAACACATGGAGTGTGAGTTTCTATACCCAGTGTGCCCTCTTTCTCTAGCATGCCGGTCAGATGGTTCATGACAGCGTGTATGAGCACGCTTGTGGTTGCCGCCCTAACACGGGGACAGTGTGAATGTGCATTTCCAAGTCCGTCCAGCAGTTGTAACTCTTCTGGACAGTAGACAGTGACCATGTTGGGTAAAGTCCTCTCCTCACTGCCAGGGTCCAGCAGCCAACACGCAACCTGTGATAGATATTCACAACTTCAGCATGACATTTATTTTCTTTATCAATTTTTTCCCTCCAAGCATGGCAGCTGTATTTATTGACATAAACCCGTAATGTTATTAGTGTATCTGAGACAAAATGGACATTTATTCTTATATATTGCTGAGAAAATATGTTGATAATTATAAGCAGATCATCTCTTATTGCTCGTGGGAAAGATTGTATCTCTCGGCTGACTTGGAAAAGACTTGATATCCCCCTGGATGAGCTGGAAGATGTGTCCGAAATGAGAGAGAAGTCTGGGCTTTTCTGCTCAGACTGCTGCCCCCACGAGCCGACCCCGGATAAGCAGTAAGAGGTGGATGGATGGATGATCTCTTATCGTTTATAATAAATACAAAAAGTCTCTAAGTGTCAGCCTTACATATTACTAAGGTGCAATCACAAAACCTCACAGGTTGAGATAAAAATGATAGCTTAATATGAACTGCACTTGAATGGAGAAGTTTCAGGTTGCACACGTGACTTCAGTGTTTTTCTGTTTTCTCACCTTTGGGTCTTCACAATTTCCTTCCAAACTGACTCCACAGCTCAGTACAA